TGGAGTGAGCAGGGTGTGGGGCCTCGGAGAAGTGGCAGGGCATGGGCAGGGCCTTGAAGATGGGGCGGGGCCAGGGTGTTCAGTTTTGTGCAAGTAGAGAAAGTTGGCAACCCTAACGATGGGCAGTAAACAAAAATTCACGGCCCGTGACCTGTCCATGACTTTTACTATATACCCCTGAGAAAAACCTGGAGGGCGGGGGGGCGGCTGAGGGGGGATACCGGGGGGATGCTGTGGGTGCGGCCGGGGGGGACGCTGCAGGTATCGGGGGAAGAGGGGGAGATGGGCGGCCCAGTATGCTCGGTACTGCTCCTCCCCTTTGGCTTTTTAGCTCCACTGGTCAGATTGGCAGGAAAAATGTAGTAGTCCTCTCCCAGGTGGCATCAGAATGAGATGCTTTTCATAATACACTATGCAGATCTGTGAATCTACTGTGTATTATTAACATAGCTGAAACCAATAACTTCCAGTCCCAGAATCAAGACAGGATGAAGAAACCTTCTTCCACGAGTCCCACCCCACAGATTTAATTTTATGGGTTCTTCGGAAGAAGCATGAATGGATTTCATTTAAGAGGTTCACAGACAAGAGCTTAGCATTTTGATTAAAGGCATAATGAACTACAAATTCCATTCGCCTCCCCTTCAACTTTTTTTTTTTCCTTTGTGATGATGGATGAAGGTGAGAAAGGAGTTGCTTGGATTCAGTTTTAGGTTGGGATTCTAAAAGGATCTTAAAAAAGTGTTATGGGAAAAGAGGAAACAGGATGATAAATACAGAAAAGGGAATTAATTGAGGCTGGGGATTTTTAAGGGGCCTAAGGGATTTAGGCACTCAACTCCCATTGTATTTCAATGGGTTATAGATGCCTAACTCCTTTAAGATCCTTTTAAAATCCTAGCCTCAATTTACTTTTCTATATTTATTATCCTGTTCCCTCTTCCCCAAACTACACATTTATAATTGATTTTCTTAGTAAAAGAACAACGCATACCAACAAAGCTTATATACCATGAGAAAATGATTCTCTGTATTCAGATTCTCAAATCAAAAATATTCAAGTGTAAGGTCTTACAAATTTTTATAGACTTTCCTTTGTCTCCAGAAGAACAGCTATGCATACGTTAACCCATCAAAAACACTGACGGCAGCTCTACATTAGAAACTTTTGCCAGTATATTAACATCAGTTAGGGAGTGTGATTTTTGGTGGCATTTTCATACTAGCAAGAGTCCTGGGGTAGACAGAGTTATATTGGTTTTTTTCAGTTAAGGATTACTTTACTCAGAGAACTGGTACAAGCTATACTGACAAAAGTACTTTTTTGCAAACATAAGCCGTGTCTACAGTAGGAGGGTTTGTGATATGGTTGCATCTTTTCTAGTGACAATAAGGTGTAGTGTCGAAGTTCACAGGAACTAATCATGCCTTATTTAGAACACCACAAACTTGGGATTCAGTATTTGAATAGCCCAAACGATGGGCTATTCGAAGAATATCAAGGCTGTTTGGACTTGAGGCTTTCCTCTCTAACATTCAGTGCGCTCATATATCTTTTATCTGGGTATCAATTGGCTTAATATAATAGGCAAGTAAATGTGTCCTTCTGTTAAAAGTATCTCAGTAGTACAGTTCTCATACAGATATGTTCAATTCTAAGTACTATATACTTTTTAAAACATATTCTCTTTCTGAATTGTGTCCCCAAATTCACAGTTTTGCTTGCCCAAATGTTCTAAAGCAGAGAATTTGAAAAATATGAGATGAATGCATATGGATAAAACATCTGAAGTTAAGCTTTAAGGGTTCTAACATAAAACAGCCACATATGGTTTCTCTTTAAACAACATCTACATGAAACAGAGCAAAAAATCGATAATCTCTTTGCTCTAAAGAAGTTTCAATGATTCCATCCAGAAATTCTATCTAGAAGTTTACTGCTTCACATACATACATACATACATACATATATACATAAGCAAGCAAGCAGAAATGTATCTGAGTAGCACTTGACTGACATTATGTGGTGGAATAAATCACATTACTAATAATTAAGTGGAATTGTACCACCTGGAACTTTTTTCTTTTTTAAAAGGAAAAGGAAGAAGTTTCACCTGCAAAATAACTTAAATTAGCATCTTCAAATATTGGTATCTTTTACATACATTTGCTCCTCTATACTGGCTGAATTTAGTGCTGCTGTATCTGTTAGAATTTTAATAAATTCATTTTCCCCCTAGATGCTTTAAATTTTATTTAAAGATTTCTCTGCACTGAAACTTAGCAGCGAGACTCAAACCCAGAATAAAATACCCTCTACCCCGATATAACGCTGTCCTCGGGCGCCAAAAAAATCTTACTGCATTATAGGTGAAACCGCGTTATATCGAACTTGCTTTGATCCGCTGGAGTGCGCAGCCTCACCCCCCGAGAGTGCTGCTTTACCGCGTTATATCTGAATTCATGTTATATTGGGTCGCATTATATCGGGGTAGAGGTGTTTTTCTAATTATTTTTGAAAAATAGCTATTAACTAGTTCTTGTGAAATGAGACATATGTATGTAATACAGGATATAATTTTCTGATTATTTAAGGGATTTTGTAATGTAAACCCACACCAATTTGGCATATGTTAAATATGGACTAGTGAAAAGCATATCTTTTTAAAGAATCAATATGCATCATATCACTATATATTTCAAATTATTCTGTAATAGATCTTAACTGAATACACATGCAACATTATACACCTATATAGTATCAGAAGAAATTTTGCATGGATGATTTTTGATTACCATAGCCTACATATGATTTTTGTACAAAATACCTTAAGTTTTCTTTGAGGTACAGCATCCCAGTCTATAGACCTGAACCACCGATGCCTTTTCACATCATCTGCTCCATTCTTTAAATAAAACCAAAAAACAAACAAAAGATTATAAGATAATGTGTATGCCATAAAACCTTAACCTATGTATTTCATTATAGCTGTTCTCTCGCCCCCCTCAAGTTCAAACTTTATATTAAAAAATTCACAGAAGCCCAGAAGTCATCCATAACCCTATAATATGAAGGGAAATATGAAAAACATTTCAAAGCTTTCACAAGGGCATTAAATAACCAGTGAGCATAAAAAATTAGATACTACACAAATTCACTCATTTATAATATAAGCAGCTATTTTATTTCTGAAAAGCTTTTAACTCTAGTTATACACCTTGGACAAGATTTCTCAGTGGCATGAAGGGCCAGTGCAAAGCCCTGTGGGCCACATAAGCCCCCAGCTTGGGCTGCAAAGGAAGGTGGTGAGGAATAGATGGAGTGGTGTCTATACCCACAGCAAGGGTCCTGGCCTGGCTCTGCATCGGGTATTAAGGTAGTCCAGAAAAGGGATGAGGGGATCTGCATTGACACAGATCCACTGGCACCCAAGATCTCAAACACGTTGTACAAGGACATGAGAGTGTGTGGAGCATCCCCATACCCAGGTTTGGGTTGAGGGGGTATATTCTCTCCAATATCCTCTCCCTCCTGGCACTTTACCACTTGTGAAAGGTGAACAGAGAAAAGTAAAGTAATGCTGCTAAAAAAAATCAGGTTGGATAAAAATCAATTTTTTTTTTTTTTGCTAAAATGCTTTTTGAGGAAAAAAACCTATCTAAAGATAGTTTTAATTAAGATACCTTTGAGCTATAATGTATCTCATCATGGAATAGGGATTATAAATTCTAATTCTATAGTATGAGACAGTATATTCATGTAATGTTTAAAAAAAGTTTTGTAAATGAATTCCAATAGTTCATGGATTAGGGACCCAATTTTAAGGGGTTCCACAGCCTACTGTATAGATTATTTAGATTATTTTTTCTATCTACCCAATGGGAGTCAGTGCTCAGTCTAGAAGATACCATCAGAGATGCTTAGTTTTGCAGTTCTCAAACTGTGGATTTTTGTCTCCAGAAGTAGCATGCTTGTTAACAGCAAACATGTTTTTAAATAAATAAACAAATATATAGAGGCGAGAAATAACAGACCTCAACTCTATTGTCCCTCTGCAAATTTGTGTACACAGAGTCAATCCCTTACCTCTCTCTAAAAGTGCAAAGTTTCAAAAAGTTCAATGAATAGAAGATTGTTGGGGCCAGAATAGATCTGGACAAGGAGAAGTCTGGAGATAAATGTGAGAAGCGAGGGACATATGCTTGTTTTGTTAAATTATTATATGTTTGCTGTTGAAGAAAAAAAAATCCAGAATACTTAACGTTGTAGTTTTAGTTAAATAAAACAATTTAAATGTCTGTCTGGTGATGTTCTCCTCCTAATACAGCATGGCAAGAAAATCCTCCAAATATTAATGATCAACCTGTTGAACTGGAGATATTTATGAAGTCATTGGGAGGTGAACTATCTGCTTCAATGACCATTGGTAAATGAAATAACCAAACATTCATCCATTTTCGGATATAGCTGTAAAGCTAATCTGAAAAGTTTTTAAAATAAATCACTTTTTAAAAATGTATAGTATGTACCTTATAAAAATGAAATCTACATCTATCTCTGAGTTGTGAAAAATATGTATTAAGGTTATAACAACCAACAAGAATGCACTTTTATGTAGAAAACCATGATTAAATCGAGTCTTCCTGATTACTGATTTAAATCAAAACCACCCGGAAAAAAAAAAAAGAAACCAATATTAAGAACTTTGAAAATATTTTTTTCAGATATACAGTATAGAGATAGCTATGCAAATGATTTTAATGAGGGGTATGTACTTCACCAACCAGCAATCCTAAAACTGTGGCCTGCTAACCCACTGGTGGTCTAATGATCTGATGGTCTATGGAGAGCTGTCTGGTCACATAGTGCCGGCTCTCATTTCCAGTTGCTAAACTGAAATAACGGCAGGTAAAAACACATTAAATACTGTCCTAATATGACTCTTCCCTACAGGCAATTGCAACATATGTTTTGTGACTGTGACCCAAAGGGGATATAATCCACAAGAAAATTATTCTAATAAATGCCTCACTATGGAAAAGTCAAAAACTAATTGCTGTGGGCATTAGTCTTCTTTATATTAGCACCTTGAGTTTCATGTAACTAGGGCAATTTCATTAGAGAGAGGTAAGAAAAAAAAAAATGTTAGCATATACCAAGGCAGAATTGTAGAAGAAAAGACAACAGGCTCACTAATGTGCAAGAGTACTAAATGAATATTTAAAAGTGTTGATTTTCCACTTTTTTTTTTAAATCCTTTAAGGTTTACACAGGAAGATGAGTTATTAGTGGAGCACAACCCTTAACACTTCTCTGTTTTTAGGTTTTGTCTCTAGCCATCTTCCTTTAACAGTAGTTTGCCCTAAACCCTGCAAAAGAAACACACACACCATTTTAAGGATAATGGTGAAATTAGTCCTAACTTAATTAACATACAGAACTAGAAAATAATCCTCAGTTCAGGCATTTCTTGCAAGCTAGGATTTGAGGGAACCATAAGAATCCACTCAACCAGACATGGAATCAAACCAGCGTGGGAGTGGCCCATCTCTTGAATGAAAGATCATTGTCACATGAAAGAAGCTCCATCATTCTCCAAATGTTGTATTTTTTTCTAAACTACATGGAAGAATCTTTGCTTGGCTCCTAACTGCACCAGAATTTGGACACCACAAGACCTCAAACACTGTTGGTCTAAATTTCAATCCGTTTATCTAAACTTCTTCCAAGAATTACCCACCACAGCAGGTTGCTTCTTTGACACTGCTGACCTTATACCAGTGACTCAACCTTTCCCGACTACTGTACCCCTTTCAAGAGTCTGATTTGTCTTGTGTACCCCCAAGTTTCACCTCACTTAAAAACTTACAAAATAAGAAATATTTTTTAAAAATGTCACAGAACACTTACTGAAAAATTGCTTACTTTCTCATTTTTACCATATAATTATAAATATTTATATTCCAATTCATTGTACTTAAATTTCAGTGTATAGTATATACAGCAGTATAAACAAATAATTGTCTATGAACTTTTAGTTAGTACTGACTTTGCTAGTGCTTTTTATGTAGCCTGTTGTAAAACTAGGCAAATACCTAGATGAGTTGACATACCCCTTGGAAGACCTCTACGTACCCCTAGGGGTAAATGTACCCCTGGTTGAGAACCACTACCTTATACCACTAACCAAACAATTCAAGCTGAAAGTGCATTTCCAAGACAAATATTCAAACATCAAAAGGAGCAAGTTATCCAGCCACAATTACACTGGGCAGTCATAACAAGCTTCATGCTTTTCTCCAGTGAAAACCTTGTTGAATCCATGAGGTCTCTTCCCATTGGACCATTAACCTATATTGCATCTAATCACAGGAACTGGGGGCTAGAGATCTGGGGAGGTACTTTGATTCCTGAGAAAGAAGGCTGGGGACCTGTGGTAGGAGAGATCTGCAAATCAGGTCCATCTTGGCCACAGAGGAGGCATGAGGATAGACCCAAGTCTCTCTCTTTTGGGGGGGGAGGGGGGAGAGTTCAGGGGAGGATATACACAGCTGCATGAGACCTGTGATCATAGGACTGAAAGGTATCTTGAGACAAGTCAGATGTGTTAAATAGCTGGTGCAAAGTCTTCGAGGTACATCATAGATGTAAAGCCTTAGGTAAGATGAGGGTTAAAAAAAATCCCTGGTGTTCATTAGAGAAGTAAAGATATCCATGGTTGGAAGCTGCATCTGGATATCAAAAAAACATCAGATGCCATACTCTGTGGAGTACCATGTTGTATGTCTGGAAGAGACTGACCTGCCTTACCTTTCTCAGAACTGAAGAGCTGTGTAGCCTGAAAGCTTCTCTCTTTCACTAAAAGAAGCTGGTCCAAAAAATACTTTATCTCACCCACCTTGTCTCGCTAATATCCTGGGACCAACACAGCTACAACAACACTGCAATTAACACCTCAGGTAAGGCAAACAGGGTCTTTCCAACAGCTCTTGCCTTTAGGTGAGAGCACTACCCTGATCTCTTCTGCTCTCCACAGGGACTTCAATAAACCAGACAATTATTGTCACAACATACTTCATATCAGACAGAGACATCCCCTTAATGACAATTGAGGGCTGAGCCCATGACATGAAGGATACCAGGAGGGGGGGCCAGTGGAGGGGAGGAGAGGATAATTATCAGTGAAGTTCCAGGTTTGCTCAGCTCCAATGTGCATGAAAAGCGGCTAGGGGCTCTGTCCTAGAAAAGGAGCTCAGGAATTCACCTCAAGGGGAAAAAAAGACAAAGTAATGAGCCTGAAACAACTGGACTGATTACTTACACCTTTACTTAGAGGAAGTAAACTGACCCTCTCCCAAGGTCAGTAGAGAAACAGACAGATTAATGAAGCTCTGTATGTGGTCAGCGAGCATTTGACTCAGTTAACAGTTAGTTCTAGGTTCTGAAACAAGTCTAAGATCTACAAGCTGCACAATAGTATTGGGAAGGGAAATTTAATGAACTAAAAAGGTGTAAAAGTAAGGAATGACTGATCTCCTGGTTCCAGAGAGGGCTGAGATTTGTCCTCTTTGTATTTTTCCTCTGGTCATCTAGTACAGAGGCAGATTTAAACAATAGGTTACATACGACAGTTAGCAGTTCTACAGTTTCATAGCTAAGTTCCTTCAGAACTCTTGGGTGAACATCTGGTCCTCATGACTTATTTCTCTTTAATTTATCAAATTGCTCCAAAACCTCATCTATGACACCTCAATCTGGGACCATTCTTCATATCTAGAAAGAATGACTCAGGTATGGGAATCTCCCTCACATCCTCTTCTTTGCAATGCCCTTGTCTTCCTTAAGTGCTCCTTTAGCAATTTGTTCATCCAGAGGCCCACTGATTGTTTGGCAGGCTTCCTGCTT